TGAACCGAAGCCAGATGTCTCAGAGTCGTTTTTGATTGGTGACAGTGGACCTCAACCCAATCGAATATTGATTTTTGGCACGCAGGGAAATCTGTAGATATTTAAAGAGTTGAGAACGTGGTTAGCAGGTGGAACGTTTCGACCTGCACCGCCACTGTTCTTTCAAGCCAATACAGCATTGGCAGAAAAGTTTAGAGTCCATCCTGTTGTATACGCGCTCTGTCAGGCAAGCAGAGAGCGACGCACAACACACTCTTTCAGACGTTAAAAGCAACTGTACCGGAACTTCAGACCAAACTCGATTTCTTGTGACTTCGAAAGTGCATCAATGCATGTGATGAAGAACGCATTTTTTGATGTTCAACTTCACGGATGATTCTTCATCTGAATTACAACATGAATAAACATTTGGGCGAACTGCACTTGCTTGATGCGTACAAAACCGATGCTGATTTCACGCTGAAAGCGAGAATGATAACAGCATTGGCATTTGTACCCATTACTGCATTGAATGAAGCACTCGACAGGCTGGCTGAACAACTTCCGAACGATCTGCAGCCGCTTTCTGGGTGTTTCAAAGACAATTACGTTGGTCAGTTGAATCGTAGAGGAAATGAGAGACGTCCGCCGTTGTTTCCAGCTCATCGACGAATTCAGAGCGAGCTGGGAATGTCACACCCGTCAGTACGGAAGATAACTGCTAGGCTCCGTAACGTGCAGAAGGACCGCGAAACATATTACGAACAACTTGCTACCGATCATCAACCACCAGTAAAGTTGAAGAAATATTAGGATGCGGACGAAGGGATAACATTTGCGAACGATTATCGTAATAGAGATATTCTTACCTACCTTCATGACTTAGCGCGTAAGTACGAAATGAGGCGATGATGTTATATATTGCATATAAAATTTTTCTACATAAATAAAGTTGCTTTGTACATCAGCTTGTTGTTTTTTCATAAAAAGTTTACTTTAAACTAAATTATATTTACAAATTTACATTTTGTGACACAATTGGGCAATCTGATAACTAACCTGATAGAGGCGTTGGCACTGCACTAACTGTATTCATATGTAAATAATGAACATTCGCTGATAGAGGAAATCGTAGATTCTAAATTTATTAGTTTGACAGAAATTTCACACTGTGCCCATGGTCAGCTTCTCACTGATATGTTACACGGTGGGTTAGATATGACAACTGCTCGAGATGACCACAGTCTAATCATACTGAATCAAACGCGCGCCACAGGACTACCAGCTGATAACGACTAACGATCGAAGCCGAAACGGCCTGCGCTGAATCGTCATAGACCGCTGCCAGATGGCCAAGGTATCCGCATTAAACGACAATCAAACGTCAGTTACGGCCTTAACAGAAGCTACTCCGCCGCTGAACCTCATTTAAATCGCATATTGACAAAACGCAATTCGAATATTCACTCATTTTCTACAGGTTGTTGAGAGAGCAGCATACGGAAGTTCATCCAACGGTTTGTTTCCTCCGCCGCTCAAGGAAACTATACTGACCGGATCTCATAGCACAATGAGTGCTCATTATATATTATTTAGCTAGTCTTACATTTGCCACTCGGTTGTGCATTCATCACACAAGATTCCTGCTGTCAAATGTTTGCTTACATAACCAAAACACGATCAAAACACGACTCGAAATGACACGCGTCATGACGAAGGAAGCATAAAACAACATACCTCCAAGATGTCAGTTTGAATCTCAGCAATGTCAGGCAAACGCCCCAGCATCATATGGTATAGCTCTTTTGTGTCAAACGAATTCCATATTTGCCTGTCTTTCGAAACGAACTTGCTGTTCGGATAGTATACCTGAAACAAAGTGTGATACAACAAAGACAACAAATCACTGCAGCTTACCACCGAAGAGTTGACTTCAAACTGGGCACACAGATTCACTTCCGTTGCGCAATCGACGTAGGCGACAATCGCTAGGCCGTTCAGCATGGCAGCCAGCTTCTTGCGGCTCTGGCTCGACAAAGTCGCCGTCGGATCCTGGTAGAAGTCAATTATCCACGGCATGGAAGATAGTTGGTGCTCCGATTTAAGCCTTTCAAAATTAGTTTCTCGTAACCGCAGCATTTTGGGGTTAACCTGAGTGAGCACAAATTCAACCAGCTGTTCCAGGTCTGTCACGCCGGCGTATGTCGTTCGCTAAAGAAAACAATGGGTTGATGACAAGAACAATGTTGAGAACTTTTTGAGACTCCCAGATACCCCACCCACCCGGAACATCAGGTGTTTGAAGAAAGATAGTAGTTCTACTGGTGTAACAAACAGGACTCTACCGCCAGGTAGGAGTTGCAGTTCAGCTGTCCGTTTCCGGAACGACGAACGCTTTGTTACCCGCCGAATCAACAAGCGATCGCGTCAACGTTCACTGATTAGCAACGAGACACCTTAAAATAAATTTTTGCCGTGACCCTGACCCTGCTAACGCTGCCGA